ATGTATATTCTAGGCCACACAAATGTAAAAATTCCCAAATTAGGTACATTTACAAATATACTAATAGATATACACATTTACAAAGTATACTGCAACACACCACAGACCTTTGCCATTCCAGCATTTGGACAGAGACCAAAAGTACAATTAAAAGTTGTGGTTCATAGCCCTTTAATTTGGAACAATAAACTAGTCATAATTTAATGATATTTATAAAACTAATGGATGGATCTGTTTGAGATTGTATGTAGCTGTATCCCTAGGCTTTGTGAATTATAGCTGGCAATAAATAAAATTCAGTTCATGAAGCATAAAAAGGGAAGGATGATAGGAGAACATTGTGGCAAGCCCTGTGCTTGATTGTTACTGTCAGACTATTAAAATGGTAAAATTTTCTGTGGTTTCCAGTACTAGTTCTTACCCTACCCATTTTTTGTTCCCAGTTACTTCGATTAGAACACTCACAGTTTTGAAGTTAATGTTTCCTACCTTTGGTATAGATTCTATCTCCTGGCATCTCTCAGCTCCCAGAAGTTATTGTAATCGTGGTATCATGAATAGGTTAATAAAAGAATTAGAAATAAAAATAGCATATGATAAGTTTATATTCTAAGTATCTGTATCTTTTCACTTTTAGCATGTGTTCAAGTGTGATGTTTCTTAAAATGATTAGCACAATAGTAATATTTTTCTCTTTATTGGATATATGTAGAACAGTTTCAAATTAAAATTGATGCTATCTTAATTAGAGGATATATATAAGGTATCACCTTTGCTATCTTTATGGCCATCCAGTCATTCAGTTTGAAACCTCAGGGGCTGTACCTTACAATGCATTTGCTTAGCTTCATCAGTGAGAGTGAAATGAGTTTATTGCAGAATGATATAAATGATAGTACTTCTTACATCAAAATCCTTATACTTTGAACAGACACTTTATCAAGTGGCTGAGCAAACACAGCAGCTTTTGAAGTATTTGAAGAGCTATTGAATTTGAGAGTCTTCATGCCGTCACTATTCTTTAATCTTATTAGTACAGGCCTCCTTCAGAACATAGCTCTCCCTTGGTTCAAATTTAAGGACATAGATTATAAAATAATGCTTAGAACTTCTTATCTACTTCAACCTGTTGATATATATATCAAATACTTAGGAAGCTCTTGAATTTAAAATAAATCATAATATTTTAAAATGATATCTAAATTGATAGGAACCTATTTGATCTCCTCTTTTAAAAAAGAGAGAAAATCTCTATTAAAACATTCTCTTTTTCCTATATTTTTCCAAAAGGAGCAATGAAAATCTTTTGATTCAGTGTTTTATATTCACCAATTATATGATCAGATGAATCAAATGAATACTAAATGGCCCTAAAACAAATGTAGTAAACCTCAGGTAGCCCAACTCCAAAAGGAATGTGAGGAGTAACATTATTCTAAATTTAACTGTGATAATAATTTAGCTGGATATCACTTTATCTAATTTTCTTCTTTGTATTCTTCTGTGGTTGGGCTCATTCTGGCCCACTTATACTTGGCAGCTCAACTTCACATTTGGACAAGAAACTGCACATGATTCTTGGCATAAAACAGGTGGCCACTTGTAGAGAGTAGGGGAGTCAGAACTACATTAGGCCTGGGTGTGCATCTCAGCCTTACCACTTATTGTAGCTAGTTGTCTGTCTTGGAGCACAGCTATTCTCCCCTTCCATTTCTGATTTCCCAAACTGACCATCCATTTTCTTACTTTTGAGTGCTATCACATGTTCGTCTCAAATATCTATCAGTTCATGGTTCTCTATATTGCTATTATAGTTTAGCCATACTTATTGTCCTTGGATTGTTAGACTTCTCATTGTTTTTCCTGTTCTTTTTACTTTGCTTCTGAACTCTGAGTTTTCTTGATTGTTGTTACATCATTTCTCATGAACTTTTAGCATCATCATTCTTTATAAAATAAGTCTTAAGCCTGCTCCACCCTTCAAAATTCTTAATATATAGACTGCTAATCCTACCTTTTTTCTCTTACCTCCCTCATAATATATCCTTTTTTGCTCTATTTATAGATATTGTAAATTGCATGTAGACTAAGATGATATCTTAATCGTTTTTGTATCTTGCACAGTACATTGCACATTGTATGTCCTTAGAAGTGAATAGGAAAAACAATTTATTATACCTTATCTTTTAGTATAAAAAATTAATATATGAAATTTGACCCTTCTTGGAGAGTCAGTGTTATCCTTAATACCAGTTTCAAACATTTATTGACAACCTCTTATGAGAAGGCCTTCTGCTAGGCAGAAGTAGGTAGTTACTGACAATAACAGCCTATTGAGGGTCCTGCTAAATTAGTTCTATATGTTATATAATTTAGAAAACATATTAAAGGGTTAATTTAAAATAAGTATAAATTGTCTCTGGGTTTTATTTTCTGATTTATATTCTGTAGCGGAAGAAGGATGATGTAGGTATTTTGATGCTGTATTGATATGATCTATATGTCTGTATGTGTAGGTGTACACACACACACACACACACACACACACGTGTTCGCAACAGAGACAGAGAAAACCAAATGGGAGAACAAACAAAACAAAGTCAGTTGTTATAATAATCTCCTTTTAAAATGTTTGCTCTAATTCTAAGCCGTACTCTTTAAAAGGTGTAGTTTCCTGATAAACTTGAATAATATGTAGCAGGAATGTACAAGTACAAAGCTCTTTCTCAGCCATTATCTGTAATCTGGTGTTTTACTCTGTAAAAATTTCTCAATTTAAGGGTTGCATTTTCTAAAGAAAGATATTGTGTTCTATGGATAGCATGGTCACAGAGCTGGGTAATTTTAGAAGTGGATATGGTAGAATCTTTTCTTTAAATTATAGATTAGAAAAAATATGTCTAAACTGATGTTTTGAAACTTTCTTTGTGACTTTCATAAGCTTTTCCTTTATGGCTACAAATGACATGTATTAAGTAAGTAGATTCTAGCTATTTTCAATTTGATGATCCCTTTCAGATGCTTAAAGAAATAGACCCTCTTACGGCAATTGTTGTTTCAATGTTCTTTGATTGAGAAAATATATAGGCAAAAACTTATCATTAAATTGTGACATTTTTCACGAATCAGCATTTTCATTAAAGAAGTACAGTTTTCAAAATATAGTTTCAAATGTGTATTGGTATAATTTAGTTTTGGATAATATGTAATGAATATATAGATTCCTTATCCCTTAATAGCATAACTATGTACACAATAATAACTTGATAACTTATCTTTCAGTGATTTGTAGGCCACAAGTTGAAAACTGCTGCTTTTGAAGATATACTTGCTTTCTTTAGCCACTGTTCTCAAAAATCTATGTTTTAGCCAATAATTTATTAGTTGTCACTTTACTCAGTACTTATAAAAATGTATTCTAGGACATTAGTCTTACAACTGTACTATTTTGTTTTTGAAGATTAAACCAAGTACTTAATGAACTAGAATGAAGGACAAAAGGAAACTTTTATTATAATCATTCTTTTCATTCTAAAATGCTTTATTTACTTTGCCTACAAATGTTTTTCACCATCCATATTTTGCCATTAATGCATTAGTAGGCTTCCATCATTTTAACTATAGTGAATGACTTTAGAATGTGCTTAATAGCCTAATAATCATTTGTATCTCTCTCTCCATCTTTCTCTTTCCCCCTCACTACCTCTCTTTAAACACTAATATTAAGATTATCAGCTTCAATTTAAGCCAGGGAAGGCTAAAATAGATTGCCTGAGATGGAGCCACTACTTCCAACAAAGTCCCTGTGGTTTGTGCATCTGGATCTCTGATCCAGACAAGATTTCAGAAGATGAAAATGGTGGTTCATTGTTCATTAACCATATGTACTATTATTGTGGTAATTTTGTTGTAATGAAAATATGTTAGCATTTCTGAGATTAAGAGTTTGTATACCAGGGCTGGGGGGTGTCGCTTAATGAAAGTCCTTGCCTAGGATGCATGCAGTATTCATTCAATTCCCAGTAGCTAAATAAATAAATTTATTTTGCATTGAGTACAATTTCTAGACATTTGAACATGATAAATTTAAGCATAAGAGTAACTTTCATGATTTTATTCTAAATATCAATAACAAGATTAGTAACTCCCTATGAAAAATTAAATGTTAAGGTTGAGGATGTAGCTCAGTAGTAGAATACTTGCCTAGCATGCTGTGACCCTTGTCTTGATACCTTGCACTACACAACAAAACAAAGCTTCAGTATTGTAGCAGATTGTACACTTGCCACATGATGACCTGTGACATGAAATGTGCTTAATTAGTCATACTGCCCATAGTTAGGAGGAGTATGCTGTCTATAACAATGGTATGAGCAGAGAGCACAGGTGCTTCCCTCTTCAGGCCATAAACTGTGTTCACTTCTGTGTGCCTCATTGTGATAATCAGGATCAAGAAAACTGAAATGAATTCAAAGATGAGGAAAGAGTAAAAAAGTCTTAACAAATGAGGAATGATCACAAGTCCTGGGGTCCCATTTAGTGTATATTTCATAATATATTTAAAGAACATGTGGAACTAGCATAGCTATTATTAAGTGTTTCAAAGGTTACTATATATTAAATTTATTCCTTATAGCTTTTCTAGGTAGAAATGGTCCCAAGGAGTCAAATTTCTCTTCAATATGGGGAAGATCCTAACTAATGGAATAGGTTTACTTTAAGAGAAAAGAAGATTTGATATTAATAGAGACATTCAGTCTTAGGCTGTATGACATGTGATGAGCTATGATAAAGTATAACAAGGATCTGTCTCATGGGTGTATGGACTACCTAGCCTGTAAAGCACCTTTCAAACAAGAATGTCCACAATATTAGAAAAGAAACAAGTGCATAGCACAAATCATGATTTAATAGCATCAGAATACTCACTTTTAAATTGCTCTCTCAGAATAATGTTTCCTTCAACTGCTAAACTGCTGTGAATTCCTTAAGAGCTATACATACAAAATTGTGCTAGACTCAGATGCAACAGAATATGGAGGACACCAGAGACTGGACCACAATACGGATTTCTTCTCTGAGCCTTTTGAGCATAATGGCCGTCACTATTCTCTTTTGGTAAGTAAGGCTCTTAAGATACTTTTATTCTATTTTAATTTTAATTCTGTTTTAATCACTTATTTTTGAGTCATGTTTTTGTTCAAAGAAATATCTTTTCAAGTAGCAACATGAGAAATAAAAGGAAGAGGAACAGGAAAAGGACACTACATTTGAAACCAGGTATAACATGTTGTGCTGAAACAAATTGGGTGTTTGAAAATTTAATAGCAAAGGTTATCTGAGGACAATTGGGGAGGAAATTTGAGTATTAATAGAAGCAGACCTTATTCTTAGGAAAAGACAGGAAGAAAGTTTTTTAATTTTTTTCAGTTATGAACATTTTTGTTCTTGCAATAATTCCTTCCTGTTTTTGCTTTCTTTGTAATAATTTACACTAAGAAGTCTTCCACATTATTGACTTTCTAATGAAGTTTAATTTAAAACACCTTAAAGGAATCAATAAAATGTATCTTTTTTTTTCCTTTCATGTAGTAAATTGAAGGCTGGGTTTATTTTAGTTTTAAATGTCTGTAGTTATATTACTGAGGAAAGCTTTTTATCATATAACCAATTTTTACATTGTGGTTTTGACACAAATGGTAGAATGTTGTTTTACACTACTATATTTAATTTTTTTAAAAAGATACAGAATTCTCCAATTTTAGATTGGGGAATTCTTCCTTTAATTTATGGTCTTATAGTATACTCAAGTCCAAATCTGCATTACATTATCTTCCTTTCTTCTTTATATGGCTGCTTATATGGCTGTCTCACTCTTTCCATCTATTTCTTTATCCCAGACCTGCACCCCGCCTTTTTTAAGATAAAGATTTACTTCACATCCATTACCTCAGGAAGGAATTATTGAACAAATACATGGATTTATCTTTGCTCTTAAAGCTCCAAACTTGATAAATTATTTCACTTTTCAAAAATTATGTATGTTAAGCATAAGAATATATATTATGATGCTCCTGGACCTTTTGTTTTCCTACTATTTTTTCAACTCTTATAGTGGCGCCAACCCTTCACTAGGTCAGCTGCTGTGTTATATACAGAATTGATGTGCCATAAAGTAAATGACAACAGTGCATTTCAAAGATTAAGTTGTTTGGTTGTAGGCTATTAGGAAAGTGCAGTGACCACAGCAGAGTTAGGTATTACCCTGAATGTATGTGTGTACATATGAGTATGTATTGATGATGACATTTTTATAGTTTTAGATACATGCAGAGGTGCATGAATATTATTAAGAGAGATCGATCTCAAAGGTGCTATTACCTTTTCTCCAAAGAATTATTGTTATAGTTTATCAGAACATTCAATTTTGACATGTAAGATTGATAAAAAAGTAGTCAATAAGAAAATTACCTTTCAACTCTAAACAAAAGGCTTAAAGACGCTTTAACTCTTGAGGGGTTAGGAAAGATGTTCAGCTCACAAAGAGGAATTATGGGGGATCAGCAATAAAACTGAACTTTTTAACAAACTGAACTAGACTGAAAGGGGCTTTAAAGGTTTAGCCAAACTCTTATGTAGCAAACTTTCCTGAATGTTTATGGAGACCAACAAATTTTGATTACAGACAGGGTCCTGATGCTATGGTGAAAAGATGACAGATGTCATGGTAAAGACCTGGGATATACTACCCTGTCTGCCATTTACTGTCTTTGAAAACTTGAGTAATATATCATTTGTGTGCCTCAGTTTCCCTCATATGTAAAATGAAGACTAAGCATAGCATCCTCCCTACTGCAAGAGAGTCTCAGAAAACATAAATTTAGAAACATAGCCAACTTTTTTAGAAACTGTAAAATGTTACTGCATGTATATTTAAAAGTTATCATCTCTGAGGCCATTTAATAATTGTTTAGATATTTTAAACACCGCAAGACACTAAATGCTTTGAGGGCACATGATTAAAAATACCTTCTCTCAACTTTGGGAAAATTTTAATCTTAGATAAAGGCTCACAGTTTTTGTGGTTGGACAGAAAATAGCATCCTTTTGATTTTGTGGTAGCAAAACTATTCTCCCATAATTAAAACAATCAACCAAGCAGTGGCAGCAGCAGTCAGGAGATTACTTTCTGAGCTCTAATTGAATTGATCTCACAAACATGGAATGTGTAGTTCTAAATTAGCCGGTAGCACAAGGAATATTTCCTAAGTCTCAATAACACATAGAGGAATACAGTACCATAAGCACAGAATAAATAGAAAAGAGCTTAACCACTGCTGGTAATAGAATTCTGATCCAACTCAGCCAGGAAAATAAGAGCCTTGTTTTTCCAGAAGCAGCATCTTGTTTTCAATGACTACAGGTGCTTCAAGAATTGCTCATTTAATAAGTCTTTAGGCCCCAGAAGAAATGTTTACTAGCTTTAATATCAGAAGAAGGGATCCCTAATGAACCAGTAAAATAGAGAAAATCCAAGAAAACAGGTTTTCTTCTTGCTAGAATATTCCTGCAAAGAGCCAAAGGGAGAAAAAAGCACATGAACAAGTAGCTATACAGGAATGCCTTATTATAATGATCTCCTTATTAAATTGAATTCATATATGTTAGAATCCAGTCAAATTCTTAAACATGACCCAAAGTGCTATAGATCTCATATCTCTACCAGTGATATCCAGCCTGCCTTCCACACTCGTAGACTAAAAGGAGGAAGGGAGGACAAGTAAAACTTTTAGCTCTTCCATTAAATTTCTGCCCAGGATAACTAGTACAAGCATTTTCTAAAGTTTAATTTGCAAGCTCAATAATCCAAAGGATTTGCTGAAGAAGTATCAAATCTGTTTTCAAAGATAGCAACAAACAGAGCTTGAAGGAATCTTAAAATAGCCATCCTTGCTGCAGTATCAGCAGGTAGAGCCCTAGCATTGTCTCTGAGCTCCTTCAGTTGAAACCATGAAGACAGGGGATAACTGCACAGGTACAACCATTGAAGCACTTTTATTAAAGTTAGAGTACCTTGCAAATGCCAAAAAGTGGTAGGGCAGGACTTCTCCATTTTGCTTTACTATCAGTTACTGAAAACTTCATTTTATCATAATCATTTCCTTTTATTTTGGCTCCTGATACACAAACCTAAATGTTAATTTGTGCATGTGGGGTGGGAAGGCTTCACAAATGGGAGGCAAGAGATTATTGAAACTTAAGTGAATTAGATTTCTTTATAGCAATTGATGTGTTTCAATAATGAAAATATGAGTAAAGCGATAGATTTACCAATCGTTATTTTGCCAGTTAAGGTTCCTATTGATAAGAGATATATTTATTCACATCTAAATTTGAGGATCCAAAAGTAGATTTTTAGTTTAAATATGGGATTTGGCTTAGTTGCATCTTTTATTGTCCCTTAGTTTTAAGTTTGAAAATACCGTTTAACAGTTTGGACGTATTTAGCTCTAACTTAGCTACAAAAATCTTTTATTGTTTTAATTGAAAAGTTCTTAATTCTTCAAGTTTTTTTCTTATTTTTCTAAGTTAGATGAGATTATACATTTCTACACAGAAACAATTATTAGCATCACTTTCCCCTGACACAAAGTAATGAGAGTTAGAATTTTTTCTAAGTACTGTTACCTAAAGCATATAAATATGAAGAATAAAATTACTTCATATGTCACTTTCATTTTTCAAAATAAGTTGTAAAAGTTTTCTACATAAAGTGAGTGTATGTAGACTTAAAAGATCTGATATATTTTGAGAAATGTTTTCATCCTACCAATTTTATATCTGAATGTGTTCTTGCTAAATTTAACAGCATCTAAGATTTAGAAATTAGCATTTGTAGTATTAAACCTTTCTTGTTTAAAAATTTTCTCTTTGCGAAACACTTGTTTTCAAAAATTATGTAAATAATTTTTACAACTCGATATGATCCTAGAGAAAAATAACACTTTGCCTGGTTGACATACTATAATAAATCACTGTGTGATCAGTTACCTTTTTAGCCACACTAATAGTTACTGGAGTAATTATGATGTTATAGTCAAAATAACAGAATAGATTAGCATGCATTTGACTCTTAGTAAAGGAATTGGTTTTTACTGCATCATTCTACTTCCTTCAGATAAGTTGATGATGAATATAGATAGCAAAAATGAAACATATAGCCATATTGTCTCATATATACAAAGTGTGATCCTTATTGCCAAATCTTTAGAGCAAGGCTAATAAATATACAAGGTAGATATGTTTACCAGTATGTATTATGTGTAACATACAAGTCCAATAGCGCTTGCTGTATGTGAGAAATTGAAATTATAAATTGTTCTATTTAATTATATTTAAGCATTTATATTTCAGTCTAGTTATGTTCATGTTTCTTTTTTCTTACTCTGTGAATCAAAACTGGCTTTTCAATTAAAATTATAAAATGTTAGAGTATGCAGCCAAAATTTAACACTGAATTTTAGGGATCCCAAAATGTTCATGTTTCTAATTGTCTCCTCATAGGGATTAGTTCTGAGTATTATTAGTTATTGAGTATAATTGGTAGTCATTCCCTAACTACTTAGAAAATTGTTTATATATGAAAAACTCTAATAAAGAAGAAAACTCAAAATTACATAGTCATAGTTAAGAAAAATCACTTGCTTGGGGAAATTCTTTCATGTTGCTTATACCACATAAACCTTAAAGCAACGTAAACACATTCTGGTAATTAACACTGCAGTAAAAAAATATAATTACATAATATCCTTGTTAATGCTATAATACAATAATCAACTGAAGTACCTATGCTGATAGTATTAAGAAGTCTCTAAGTGTGACTGGAATTGGCAATATAAGACTCCTTACATAAAATCGACCAGCATCATCATTTAGAGTTCTTGGAGCATTTTTTAAAGCACTAAATGCAAAAAAGAAAACTTGGCATATATATTGCAAACTTAAACTTCTACTGGCACTCTTTTATTTAACTATCATATATAAGCTAGCTAAAATATCAAAAGTTCCAAAGAGATTAAGACTGTCAGTACAGTATATATTTATTATTATGTTCCACTCGTGAAATTATCATAAGGTTAGGGACCAGAATAGATGTCATAATTCATAGGATCCAAATAGGAGATTGATGGGGTTTTCCTGATGTATCACTATCCACACACTGAAAGAACCTGCCATTATTTGTCCTAGGCCTGTTTATGTGTTTCATTGCAAATTTATCAGGAAACTGGACTTATCAAAAGTTCCTTTATCAGTATAATAGGACAATACCATATCAGACAAAGATTTTTTTAAAAAATATTATTTTATTGGTACATTTTAGGCATACGATATAATGACATTCATCATTGGAAATTTGCACCTTTACATAATCTCTCTTGGTTCTCATTTTTTCCCCCTTCCCCTGCCCTCCCTTCAAACCCTCCATTCCTCCCCATTTACAAAGGTTTTGTTTACATTTTTTCATTTTCTCATATTAATTCCATTCCCTTCTTTCCTTCCCCCTACCCCTCCCACTTCCCCTTCCCCTTTGCCCCTTTTCTTCCTATTTCACATTATCTATTATACCTTTTAGTCCTTATTTACACTTTCAGTTTCTCACACTAGAGAAACTCTTCAGTATTTACACACGTGTGTCCTGTTTATTTCACTTAAGAGTATCGCCTCAATGTGCATCCATTTAGCTATAAATGTCTCTAATTTCTCATTTTTTATGGTTGAGTAGTACTCTGTTTTATTTAAAAAAAAACACATTTTCTTTATCCAATCTCCAGTTGATGGGCAATTGGGCTGCTTCCAAGTTTTAGCTATTACAAATTGTGCTGCTATGAACATGGATGCACATATATCACTGTGGCATGATTATTTTAATTCTTTGGGGAAGATAACCCAGCAGGGGAATAGCTGGGTCAAATGGGACTTCCAGTCCTAGTTCTCTGAGGTATCTCCATACTGATTTCCACAGTGGTTGCACCAGTCTACACTCCCACTAGCACTAAACTAAAATCGAAATAGATTAAAGATCTAAATATTAAAATAGAAACGCTGAACTGGCTGGAACAGAGGTTAGGTAGAACTCTTGAAGACATTGGTGTAGGAAAAGATTTTATGAACAAAACCTCAGTTGCCCGTGAACTAGCACAAACAATCAACAAGTGGGATCTCTCCTTATTAAAAAGCTTCTACACATCAAGAGAAACCACCAGCAGTATGAAGAGACAACCCACAATGTCGGAAAAAATCTTTACCTGCTTTTCCTCAGACAAAGGTCTACTATCTAGAATCTACAAAGAACTTTAAAAAAATCAGACCTCCCAAATTTAAAGGCCCAATCCAAAAATGGGCCTCTGAAATGAACAGACATTTCTCAGACAAAGAAGTAGAAACAACAAATAAACATATGAAAAAATGTTCAACATCACTGGTCATTCATGAGATGGAAATGAAAACAATGCTGAGATTCCACCTTACTTCACAAAGAATGGCTGCTATCATGAAATGAACCCATAACAAATGTTGGTGGGGCTGTGGAGAAAGAGGAACCCTGCTTCAGACAAACATTTTTAATATAGAGAAAACTGAAATTTTTGTGTGCAGTTTCTGGTGCAAGTGAGAAATTTAAATTGATCTTCAGTTTTAAATTGTTTACGGAAAAAGCAATCAGAACAATTAGAATCTACTGTTTCACCAATTAGTTAATCCCCAGTAACTGTTATCTTTAAGACTAATTATATAAATTAATTCCTTGAATGAGTATATGAGAAACTCTTTTGGAAGCCTGTTCTTTATAAGGGCAGATCAGTCTTAATTTGGCTTCATTTTGATGAATTTGGGAAGGATTAAGATGGATCAGACTATTGGTTTTTTTCTCCTGTTTTTGGTCTCTGTTGCTTTTGTCTGTAGCTTGAAATATGCCAGCCTTTGGCCTGCATCTGCCTGCCTGTAATGTTAATATTTCTGTATTCTTTGTGGATACTTCCTCCTTCTTTTTGTTGAATCAGTCTCATACCATCTGACCTATCTCACAGAGAAAACTCTACACAGAAGAAATTACTTTAGGAATTAAATTCTGATGTGGTTTAAAAGTTGTAAGGCATTAAATACAATGTGCAAATTATGGGGAAACAGATTGTAGGTTTGAAATATCTGGTTTCCTTACACGTAATGACTATAGGGATTTAATATTTATCTTTTTGGAGATACTTGATTTCAAACCAGACTGGAAGTCATTGAGCTACATAGTGTTTGTTAACATTTGTGCATTTTTCTCAGATGAATATCATTTTCTAAATCACTATCACATTTAGTTGAAGATTAGAAAAATTGTTCTCTACATATTACATTCCATAAGTTTCTTAAAATGCTAACATTTTAAAATTACTTTTAAGGTTTGATGTTCAAAACTAACCACCTTATGGTATCTGAGATATATATATATATATATAGATAGATAGATAGATAGATAGATATAGATATATATAGATACACACACACACACACACACACACACATTTCTTGCAGGTACCTGATAGGAAAGCATTTTGTTCATTTGTAAAGTTAGGGTGCTTTGGACATACAAGTCTCATTCAGTGAAAATCAGCTGTTTTATTTTTTTCCTAAAACTATGCCTGCTTTGCATCCTCCATTCTGTTCTAAGCTCTTCTAAAAAACACTTTTAATTTTTTTTAACCATCAAGCTTTTGCTTAAAGCTAAAGTAACTAAATATGGTAAAATAATAAAGTCAGAAATGCAGAGAGATTGTCAAAATATTGAGAATAACTGGTAACTGTTAATAGTTAAGTATGTTGTACATAGAATAACACATAGATAAGATTTCAAGTTTACATCACCTAAACTTTATAAAAGTTATTTCAGATATAAACATATTAGAGGATATCTTTGAAATTTGCACACATTGATCCACTGTTATTCCTTTATTCATTAGATATTGTTTTAGACATCACTGACACCTGCTTTGTCCAATGACACCTGCTAAGTGTGAGAAATTAAAAGACATATGACCTTTATCCTTGTAAATCTCGTAGTCCATGGGAAAGACAAAACAGGTGCTATGATCGAAAATGAAGTGTATCTGGGATTTTCAAGGAAAGCTTCACCAAGGAGCTGGAATTTTTACTAGTACATGTTTGCAATACATAATGAATACATTCATCATGGGTAGTTTACTCATATTTATATCCAATCTTAATGCTTTTACCTCCCTCCCCAGTCCCTCTATACTTAGGTTTCCTACTTCAAAAATGTCTTCCTTTTTCCTATTACTATATCTATCTTTTATTTTGCTATTTAAATTATTTATACTATGAGATATTTAAACTGTGTCTGATTTATTTCATTTAGCATTATGGCCGCAAGGTGTATCAGTTTTCCTAGAAATGACTCAAATGTATCCTTCTTTACAACTGGACCTATGGTTTTTGAACATCTATATAGAAACAAGCAAAGCAAAGAGTGTTTGGAGCAGAAAGCACATTATAGACAAAGGTTCAGAAAGGAAGAGTTTGAAATATTTAAGGAACTGGAGAGCTGTAGTAGCTGGGGCTCAGTAAATGAAAGAAGAGACAAATGGGCAGATGAGCTGGGAGGTCAGACATAGGCAAGGAGGAGTTGAGTCATAGCTGTACAGGGCATTGAAGAGATGTGTATTCTTTTTCACAGGGAAACACAAGTTTTTTGGTTGGGTTAAAGTAAAGATGAGCCTAAAACCCTTATATTTCAGTTTTTGTTCTTTAAATGGGAAGAAAAAAGAATGGTATTATAAAAGTGTCTTGAGGCAAAGCCAAGCTTTGTATTTTGCTTTTATCCATCTAAGTAGAGTAACATTGTGAACTCTAAAGCAGCCTTCCTTCACTACCTGATTGTGCCTAAATATGGCAGTAAGAGTGTCCTTTATGATGTCTCCTGTATGATGTACATTTTTTTGTACATAGTAGGGAGCCCTCTTGTGGTGATTGCTTTAAAGTGCTCTTACCTTGCTGCCAGAGCTGCTGGAAGTGTGTGTGATCTTGAGCCTTTGAAGAACCGGTAGAATTGTGAAAATAACTGTACCTTTAGTGAAATATGAGTCTGTGTCATGTCTGTGTTGTTTGACATAATGACAGCATGTTCAGTATTTCTTTCAATTTCACTGAAATGATTGTATTGACCTAGGTGTACATTCCAAGCCGCGTGGCCCTCATCCTTCAGAATGTGGATCTGCCAAACTGAAGAGATCTGATTTCAACTCCTCTACTTGCAGATATGTGTTTTCTTTGTGGTTCTTATTGTCACAGAGTTTATAATATGTAAGCTTTTCAAAATACAGTTACCGAGCCAAAATGTCAGATTGAAATTCAGTATTATAGACGCAACTATATCAAGCTTTTCTTTAAGAAGTACAGAGAGTGGTATGTTTAAAATTTGAGGATCTGTATTTTCAAGTCATCCGAGCAGCTAGAATTTTCAAATAAAGTATAATGTATGTCTTAAAAACATTTTACTTTCCTAGGTAAGCATTTAATCCTTTTAATTTCAAATTTGAATTATATATGATATACATTTATTTCTGTTGAATGTATACAGCATCTTTTAAGATGGATAGTTGGTGGCCTTATGTGTATCTACTTGTCTAAATTATGAGATGCCAAGTTTGTTTCTCTGGGTTTCATTCAAATTGTGTTTTAAAATATTGTAATAAATATATAGCAGTAATAATATAAAATTAAGAATTGTATCAAAGGTAATATAAAGCCCATGCCTGTGAACTTATCTATGCCTCACTTTGCATTAAGTATCTTATGATCTGTTCACATACTATTTTGTTTTCTGAAGACTTGGAATGGTAATTGTAGCATATCAGAAAATGTCTTTTTCTTTCAGTCAATTAAAAAACTTGCAAAATTGCTTTTGCTTCTGTTTATTTTGCTGTCCTATTGTAGGGATTGATTTGGAATGAATATTAACATACCTGTTCTCAGATCTGACAGCTTTCCCACATGTGTTCACATGTGCATGATGGTCTAGTAAGCAAATTATTTGTCTTTTTTGGGAAAGCATCTTGTATTTTAAAATCATATTAACCAATTCTTATGTCTAAGACCCTATTCAGCACTACATCTGAGCACTTCTAGAAGCTGAATTAACTATTTCGATTCATCAGGATACTGCCCTTCAGTTATTAAACAGTGAGTCAAAGGTTTCACATCACTGATATTTAGTTCACTCATACTTGAGAAATTATGATCCCTGTAATGTTATTTTAAACATCACATTTTCCCCCTAATATCAATATAGCTACTTGGTGGTTTTGTTTGTTTGGCTGGTTGGTTTTTTTATGATTAATAATGAATACTTCTTTAAAAACTCAGTGGTGGATGAGATATTAACTATCATCTTTAAACTATTTTAAGTAAATCCTAGAATATTTAGGCCTGGAATGTGTCCTTTACTTCAAATTCCAAATAAAATAGTAGTTTGACTTCCTGAAAGACTCAACAATGTCAGATGATGAGAGTATGCATGGGAACATCACTGAAATCACCCATGGTATTTTCCCCTTTACAGAGATGTATTAATATCCTAGCACTGCCATGATCTCTGTTGTCTACCTGCCATTAATAACAACACATGTACCCATGATGTTTTGTGTTCTGGTTTAGAATTACTTACCCTTGCATTTATTGTGTATCAAGTGATATGCAATTCTTCTGTCAAAGATAATTTTAAATGACATGAAATTAGCATCCAGAATACATTTTCTTTTCATTGTGACCCTTGTGGCAGTGTTAAAAGACCAGAGTCATGATAGCTATATTTCCAGTATATTGGTTGACTTTGCAAAATGTTCTTTAGATTTCACAGTCTAAAGTTAGATTTTACCAATGTAATGTAAGTTAATTGCCCTTCTCAAATGCCCACTACACAAACACACCAAGAAGAGTAATAAATCTGTGTTGCTTGGTAGTCGTTATAATAATATAGGCAAACAAATAAAATATTAAGAGTCCAAAATCAAATGCAGAGTTTTTTTTCTCTCTCGTGGTATGGACATTTTTTTATAGAGCATTCTAATATGCTAGTATATTTCACTATAGGACTTTTGTTTTTATATCAGTGATATATAACTATTTTTCCCTCTGATGTGCTTATTGCTAACATAAGAAATGAGACTAACTCATCTTTGTTGACTTTTTGAGAGTATTTTTGTTTAATTTTTATGTCTTAAAAAACAGATGACTACAGATTTCTTTGAATCATTTTCTGATATTTGCAAATAAGTGCTAATCATTGCTTTATTATCCAAAATGAGATTTCCTCCAATGCTGATAATAGTATTTTAGTTTGATATTATCCTACTCAGAAATAGGATTTTGTAGTAGCCAAAAATCAAATTGTAAATATTTTTCCTACAGTGTTCCCCACTTTATTCCACTTGAATTCTGAGAGTCAATGCCTCTCATATTTTCTCTTCTGTAAGTTTGATATTTCTCACTTTGCCTTGTTCATAGCTGATATATTTATCTCTAACATAAAATGCAGAATTTAGCCACCACGTTCCTCAAGTTCAAAAAGTAACTGGTGACAATAAACTGACTTTTCTCATGGCAACTGTAAAGAATGCAAGTATTCTTTTTTCCTCTGACTAAAGCGCTCCCCTTAGCAATAGCAGTCCAACATTTGTTGCCCATCAGGGCTATAGCCATCACTACGCAGGACTGTACAGGAGCTTGCCTGAATAAGGAGCCTATTCTTCAAATAATACGCAAGAGCATGCAGAAAGATCCAGGGGAAAACAATGAAGGGTAATGTATTTTCCTCTCAAATCAGCTTCTAGCTTCAGGACAGATATCTTTTCATTGTCTCTGGTCCTGTGGCCATGGACTTTGGCAATGAAAGCAATGAAAAACAGCTTTGCTGTTGCTCTTCCTGTTTGGGTGTGGGAGCTGACCTATCTGATAGGAGCCAAAATGGTGAAGCAGCATTCTAGCTGGCCTTGTGCTTTTCACACTATTTCTTTTTGCCTATTTTGAGTCGTGCTCTGAACTTGGGTTCTTCAGAGTGGTGGAGTTCATTTATCTATTCCTCATAAGGGGATGAACACTGAGCTGTGAACTTTGCTAGGTAAAATATTCTGATGAAAGAAAATAGAAATCTGAAGCAGAGCAATGTCATGTCCTTTATTCAGTGGAGTTCACTTATCATTCACAATGTGTTAGAATTGAAATGTAGATAAATTTTCTCACTAAAGCCAGCTTTTATGGGGAAAAGAATCAAATGAACTCCCTACTAATTTCTCTGCTGTATTATCTTATTACTGATGATTTGTAGAGTATTGCAGAGAAACATTCATACTTTTGGGCAAAATTTCTTAATTGGTATTGTGAAGAATTAAGATACAGTAGCTATAAGTGCTTTTGTCTCTGTAATTTAAAACTTTACATCAGGATTTAACTCTTGGCAAAAATCTTGCAGAGAAAGTAATGTTCATGTATATAAAAATTTTTTTTGGTACTAGATATGCTTATGCTAAAGGGCACAACATTTGGAAGCTTACTTATGACTTGATTTTTTTCCCATAATTTCTATTTGATCAGAAAGGTGTTTGGCCCTTGTTGTGTGGACTGTAGGCTATTTTACCTGAGAAGTGTGGTACAGTGGACAGAATACCCTCATTCAACTTACTGTATTCCTTGTGCCTCATTTTAGTAAGCATTCAGTGACTGTTCCTATCCAGGTTTCAAGGAAATTACAGTGAAAGGGCAGGGGCATTGCCGTTGATTCTATAAATGTCATTAGTTAACCAATAGCTAGATACTTGGATAGTGAGTCAGTGACTCCAGACACCTTCCAAGTTTATTATCAGGGGTGCAAGTGTCTCCATCACTTGTCTGTCATTCAGGGTTTCTACACTAAGTTATCTGTAACCTCAGATAAGGTGTGGTCTACTTTTTACCTGAGTTTTGCATTTCCTCCACCATTACAGATGAGGCAGATTTCCAGTCCCGTCACTACTTTTGTTTGCTTATATTACCTTTTTCTCTAGTATACAAGAATGTCTCAGTGAATTTCTTTCCCCTGTGGTCAATGTAGTGGCCCCTTAGCCTTTTCAGCTATTGTAATACTTTGTACTGTGCAACCCAGCCTTGTGAATGTAAGTTCACAACCTCTTCGTACTAACCAAAAGGGCAATATAACCTCAGTACTAAGTGAAATAGCAGCAGGAGCTCAGCAACTAATGTTGAGAATCTCCATTCCTTTCTGTCTTCCCCTTAACTCATAGCCTAAAAGAGGCCACTGGAAGAAGGATAAATGACAGCAGCATCTTGGGAACTGAAAGAGAGAACTCACATTTAGAGAGATAGTTTAATGCATCATACTTTGGCCTGAAAGCCTGCTCTCATCAGAAGCACACCTCTTCATTAAGTAAGCATTTGTACAACTGAATATTAATTTTTTGAAGAAGGGAGAAATACTAACCAGTGATCTAAAATGTTGACAGTTTTCTGGCATTTACAGTAACACAATGCAAAGCAGAAAATCAGCAACCAAAAAAAAAAAAAAGGTATCACACCAAATTACTTTGCGACAAAGGATATAAATGAAATGATACAAATTTTCAAATTATTTATAAATACTTACATAAATTAAAATAGGAGAATGCTGAAAATATGTGGGAAAACTCATCTAATACATGGTTTTATAATGTATATATGAGTATGTGAATACACACATACATAATTTGTAGATTAGCTGAATATACACAAATTTCACAGATTCCAGTATTTATCTCAAATGAATGAATATCTTGATCTCTTTTTGTATTGCTAATACTCAGGTACTTAACTTGGTTTTGTTACAAACAAAATCTAAATTTTATTTGGATTTAAAGAAGTGTCCAAATGTTTGCAGTGAAATGCTGTGTATATTTCAATTGCTTTTGAGAATGTTTCTCCTATGTCTTTTATTTTTCTTCTAGAAAGAAGGGAGAAATGAAGTTACCTTATCACTTTCTTATTTACATCCCAAGGTTCTTTTTAACTGGGCTTGTATTCTCACTTTGATTCAATCAAGCAGTATAAATGGTTAAAAACACTGTATGTAATTTTATTCTGTGAATCCCCTTAACCATATCATTAATTATTGGTTAAAATTGATCATATGATTTAGGGGTCCTACAAACACATACACATAGTCTGTTCTTTCTTAAGAAAAGTAGGTATCACTCAGTGGGACTTTTCAATTTAGAAAAACCAATAGAATATATAAATCTTTTCCAAATACACACACACACAAACTCGAATCTTGCACTTGCAAGGCAGGTGGCAGCACCGAGCCAAATCCCCAGCCCCCAAATACATATGTTTTTAAAGACACAATGTACTGGCTACCATGTATCGAGAGCTTTCTTGTTGCTGTGCCTGCTGTTGGACATTTTATAGACTTTTTAGTCTGAATGCTATGCAAACTCTGCAAAATGATGATTACTATCTGTTTTTGAGTTTAGGATTGTGCTTATTCAAACTGTACTTTGCTGTCTTTCATGCTGTTTCCACAAAAAAATCATTACAGATCTCTAGATCAAGGGTCAAAAAATGACTTTCCAAGGAATAACTGCCAAAAGTCCCCATTTGGTAGGTTGTCTGTTCACTTGTTTCCTTTGAGGTGCACAAGCTTTTTAACTTGATATAATCCCATTTGTTGATTTTTGGTATTATTTCTTGTGCTATTGGGATTTGGTTCAGAAAGTCCTTGCCTAGAGGAACAACAACTATAATATACAAAGAGCTCAAAAAACTAGACCTTCCAAAATAAAAGAACCAATCAAAAAAAAATTGGCAACCAAAATGAATAGACGCTTCTTAGAATAAGAGGTACAAATGGCCAATAAATACATGAACAATTTT